GCTTCAAAATCAACTATTATAACAATTCAATTATACAGATACATTTATATATACTTTTCGTCATAAATACAACAATTAACGCGAGACTAGGCATCTCATTTCATCATTTTCAGAATCATAAGAATTCATTCCATAAACTGGATAATATGATTTATAATCGTAGCTTTCAGATAAATTGACGTGATTACCTTGTTCATTAGCAGCACTATTATTTTTAGGTTGCCATAATACCAAATTATTCAACAAAACTTTGAAGAATATCAAAAGAAGATTTTGTAACTCGAACACGTGTAAGAGGAAAACTACAATTTATCAAACAACTTTAATTTCCAAATATCAAAGAAAAATAACATTTAGTCCAGAAACATTAGAAAACATATATCTTATAAGTCATAAATTACACATACCGAACTTTCGATCGTTCTTTGTTTATATTTCCTTTCGTTTTCAGCTGGCCAATTAGAACGATCTTTCGCCTTCAAATAAGTCTTGGAATTTTAGCTTCCCTGATTTTCTCTCTTATCTTGATTTCCTTATATTTCGGATCCACAAAATCATTGATCTCCTTGTCTTTCCAACGATTTAGACTTTGTGCGAATACGTTGACATACATCAGAATTTGAGTTATCAGATGTATTTTCTATCTGTTCAGATATTGTCAGAATTATTTCTGATATTAGCCGAAGATTGTTTAATTCCCTTAATATCATCACCTAATTTAGCAATAAGGCTGGTCTTTTCTTTTATCTCCCTATTGTAAATTCGTGAATCATGTTTTCCAAAGCATGCTTTAGCTTCGATATTCTCAGCCTTGACCTCAGCATTCTGCCTAAAAGCATCGAATTTAATTTTCTCAACGAATCGATCACATGTTCGATAATATTTTTACACAAGATGGAATAATTCAAAGGTCTGCCTTCTTCAATCATAGATTTCGGGAGATAAAGAATAAGAATAAAAAAATTTCAACCATATAATTTTTCTGGTTTCGAACGTGAGAAGGTAAGATAAAAATAATTTTTCACGATTTTGCATATATAATACATAGTTTGATATATAGGTCATATAAAACCGGGATTCAAACTTTCGATAAATAATATTTGTAAACGTTATTATGTAAATCATAAACAACATATACACTTTTTTATTATTCCATTGCAGTGGATGCACATCACATACATACCCACCCACATGTAGCATATATTGGTTAAAAACATAAGGTCTGATGTGGGAAAACAATAAATGTTTCAATAACCATTTTCGAGGCGTGGTAGTGGGCACGTAATGATGAACATTTGTCAAATATATTTCAGGAATCGCATTGCTGAAATGATATGAGATTGCTTCAATAAAAACGGCTTTTTCAATAAACAAATTATTTTGATGAATATAAATGTAATTATCTTATGCAACAAAAAGTAAGTTCAAAACAACATATTCAACTAAAGTGACACTACAGTGGATCGACATGCCAAACAGCACCCATAAAACGACTACCAAAAGCGTTCTCGTCACTGAGCATTCAGATAGTGCACGCACACCTCTGTCATTTAAACTTGCATCAACAAGGAAATGTCACCTTCTGAAGGAACAAAGCAATGTCTCAACAAGGTGAATATATTGTTGCGGAAGACGCACAAAAATCCGGCATATGTCACAGCATACCCATGGGCAAGGGAAGACCTTGCTTGAATTCTTGGCATTACGATGCATCAACGCAGATACACGCTCTTCCGCATAGTTAATTTTCTCTACAAGGTTAAAGCATTTAATAAATCATAACAACAATGTTTGCATTATTTTAACAATTCTACCCATTTGTTATTTTTTTTTTTCCATACGTGGTTTGTTTTGCTGCCAATGTTCGTCTTTCCAAAAAATAAATAAATAAATAAATAAATACGGTACGGTGAATGTGAACAAGAATTTTTTTTCGTGGGCCGGTGGGTTCGTAGCTTGGGAGTTGACTGATACATCAAATTTATAAGTATGTTTAGTCACGGCTTAGCCGAAATTATTCGTGTGACAAATATAGGTTAACGAGATTTATCCCAAGAATCACGTGGGGTGAAGATGTGAAGAGATTTTGATTATCTACTTATTTCTAGCTCCGAAATAGCAAAAGAGAATCCAAAAACTCAAAGGTACTTCACTTAAGAGACAAATATGCTTCCTTCTACTATTACTGGACCTTGTATAAATACTTTATGCCGAAGACAGTCAACAAACTGGAAAAGAGTAACTATTTGGAAGAATAAACATGTTCTTTCCAACAAACTTTTCCAGGTTTAAATTTTTTGTCAATATGACGCAGTTAAAATAGCATTGTCGAACAAATATCTACATAGTTCATTTTTAATTTAAAAATATAACACTAATATAGCAATTTTAAATTATTAGCATTATAATAACATCACGTGACATGTATTAGATCGATCAATGGACCAATGGTTTTGACCAAAGATGCCGATCGATGATGTGAGTCATATGTTATATACGTCATTCGTACAGTCAACCCTCTCTAAATGCACCCCCTTGGGACTATAGTGAAAATTTTAAAAAATGTGCATTTAAAGAGGGTGTGCATTTAAAGAGAAAATTTTTATATGAATTCTATATGCTTGGGACTGAACAAGAGCGTGCATTTAAAGAGAAAATATATAGTGTGTGCATTTAGAGAGGGTTGAATGTATATACTTATATATACTCACGGAATAAATATTTTGATTATTACTGTAATCGCTTTCTAATCTATTATCAAAACTTCCAAAGAAACAATTCTTATAATGGGTAAGGTTATTTTTAAAACTTTGATAATTCACATTTCAATAATGCATATTTCCACACAACCTTGACAACAGGTACGACTTGTGCCGACCTCAAAAACGCTATCATCAAATCCTTCGATGATTCAAGGACTACAAGGATTGGGGAATATACCCTACAATATCTTGAAGACTCTCACATCAACTTCGCTGTAAAAGATTACCCATTCATTAAACAAGAAGTGATAAACAAGGCGATAGACGTGTTTAATACACCCGAGCACTACGAAAATCATCAAAAATAAGGCGAGATCGATAATTAAGAAACTTAGAGTAAGTTAGCGGCGAGTTTTTTTTTATTATTACATTATGTTAATAATCTTTTCTTTTCAGAATTCGTCTCAACTATCCGCGAAATCTGCCGAAATCTTTCAACGGCAAAAAAATAAAGCTGAACAGGTATAACATGAAAATTATCACTATTTTAATACACGAAACATTTTAATGAGTACTTTGCAAGAAAACGTCCTTTGATGCTGATCTTGTAAATTTGTAAATTTCCTTTCCTATTTTTTTTTGGTTAATGACAGAATCAGTTTTATCGCCATATAGATAAGAACGTTCGGAAGATAGAGATCATAATTTCATCAGCACATGTTACAGAAGTGAAAAGACGCGCTGAAACATCTAACCAAACTAACAAGCGAAATTACGTGAGTATTCAAAATTATATATAATTTAAAATCTGGGTCAATTTTGGTCGATTTCTTCTTATTCTAATTGTTTTGTACAAATCAATGTTATTGAGACCCAAAATATGTATTCACAAAGTGGCAATAAACGAGATGAGAATTTTCCAGAAATTGATAACAATTATTACGATAATGATGAAAATAAGAGCAATGATGCGTTATTTCAATCAGAATCGAAGGTCAGTAATGATAATACTTCTGCACAAAATTTTAAACCTTTCTTACTTTGTGAAACCCGCAGATTAAAACCAATCGTCGAGTTTTAGTGGAGGTAGATTCGCAGTTTCAAGAATTTCAAGAAACCTTTTTTGCAATGCACAATGATATGAAATGAAAGCTCCCATCCGGAAGTTATGTTGAAGATATTCTTTTTAATTACATAAAGGATCTCCCTTATGAATGGTATGAATGGTTAGTGTTAAGTTTAAGAATATCTATTGTTATAAGCTATTATCTAATATTTTTTTACCAGTCCATCACATAGTTTTATTCTTGATACAGAAAATGAAAATATAATGAATTTGTTTGATAAACGTGATCAAGAATATATCAAGACCCACAATGTTATGGCTGACCCTGAATTGGAAGATAATCTAATACAGTTCCCGATGAAAAGAATGGCAGTTTAAATACCGCATCTATTTTAGGCTGAAACGTAAACTGCGTTTCCGATATGGGCCGTTGTTTATATGACTAAATTAGGCGCTGGAATCATAATATAAAAGGTAAGTTAAAAAAAATTATGTTTGTTTTTGTTTTTGTTGTGATTTCT